TACTTATAATAATTTAAAGTAAAAGTATATATTAGTTACTTTATTAAATATATATTTACTAACTAATACTATAAATATATACTACTAAAGAATAAAGTAGTTACTTTATATAATAAAGTCTTTAATAAAGATAATTACTTTAGTAGTAATAAAAATAAATAAGTAAATAAATTAAGTAATATAGATAAATCTACTATTAATAAATAGATTATAAAAGCTATTAGTTAAAGTTTTAAAGATATTACTAATAGCAAAGATCCTATATAAACTACTATAGATAAGGCTAAAGTCTAACTATTAAGTAAATCTATAAAAAGTAACTATAAATATATAAAGCTATACTTTATATTAATTACCTTACTAAAGTTACTTAATATATTATTTACTTTATAATTACTAGGTATACTTAATATAAGAGGGTATAAAATAAATAAAGTCTATTATATTAACTATATATTATAATATTAATAACTATTTATATAAGAATTAAAGAAGGCTGCTTTTATAGTAAGATTATTACCTTTATAATAATATATAAATTATTTCTTAAGGTAGATTAAGTTACCTAATAAGTCTATAGGCTAGCCCCCTTAAAGTATAAATATATAGATTAATTAGTAAAAGAAGTAACCTTAAAAAGCTTTAATAATAATATAAAGATATAACTAGAGAGAAGTCCTTATAAAGATAAAATAGCTAGTAGTAGTTATTTATATATTTATATATAGAACTTACCTAAGCTACCTAAATTATATACTAACTTATATAACTACCTATTTACTAGTAAATTTTATAAGGGTAAAGAGGATTACTTATAAAGTTATAAAGTTATAGGTAGCTAGTATAAAGTTAGTATTAAAGAAGCTAGTAATAATTAAATACTTAATTACTAATAAGTATATACTTATAAGCTAAATAAATATAGATATCTTATAAAGTTTAAAGTAAAGCTAGTTATTTATAGTAATTAGTAGCTAAAGAATATAATTTATAATATATATATAGTAATACCTTTAGGATTATTATTTTAATTACTTATAGTAATATTAGCTAAGTTAGAGTAAAAGCTTATTTAATTTAATATAGTTAATATATTTATATATACTAATATTAATAAAAGAGTGTTTATAAGGCTTTCTTTAAAGTATTTAAACTATAGTAGAGGGAGAATTATAAAGTTAAAAAAGGCCCTCTATAGTCTATACTAATTACTACTATTATAGTAAAAGCACCTTAAGAAAAGACTTTATAAGCTTAGATTTATACTAGTTACTAGTAAACTATACTACTAGTAAAAAGGTATAATTATATTATTCTTTTATATTAACAAGTTTATCTTTATATATCTAGAGTTAATTAAAAGTAATATACATAAAGTAATAAATAGTATAAAGAAGAGATACTACTTAAAAGATAATAATAAAATATAATAGTTTCTTAAGATAAAGATATTATATAACTACTTATAGTAAAAGATATAGTTATTATAGGTAATATATATTAATAAAACTATAAAGTTAATTAATAATAATAAAGCCTTACTACTACTAAGTAATACTTTAATAAGTAATAAAGAGTTATTATCTTTAAAGAAGACTACTATAAACTATAAGCTTACTAAATACTAGTAAAAGGTTAAATTAATCTTATATATAGTAGTAATAACTACACTTAATATTATATTTATAGCTAGCTACCTAGTGTAATTTAATTAAAACCTATTAGTTCCTTATTAAAGGGTAGTAAATTAGGCACTATAATACCTTTACTATATAAAAGAACTTTACTTTAAATATAGATCTAATAAAGTAATAATAGTTAATTTAACACTAGCTTTAGTAATAACTTAATTAACTATAAAAGCTTATAAGTATATACTATTAAACTATTTAGTAGCTTTATAAGCTAGTAAGTAAATAAGTAATAAATAATAGTAATATTTATAATAAAAGTAAAGTTATTAGCCTTTTTATAGGCTATAAAGAAAGTAATATTTATAAGCTAATTAATTACTAAGTTAACTATAGTAAATACTATAATAATAATTAGCCTATAGATAGTTATTTAATATAATAACTAATAAATAATTAGTTTAGTTATAAAGAGAATTATTTAACTATAGACAAAGCTATACTATATAGATATTTACTATTACTAGTTATACTAAGAAATATTAAATAAAAAGATTAAAGTAGTCTATACTTTATTAGCTAAGATAATAGTAAATAGATTAACTAAGGCACTACTGAAGTAAAAACAGGCTATATCTTTCAAGTAATTAGGCCTTATAAACTAACTTAATTACATATTATAAAATTATAAAGAAAAGCTTATTAGTAAGTAATTACTACTTATAAGTATAAAGGTAATTAGTAAGTAGTTAATAATAATAATAAAGTTAAATAGTAAGAATTAAAGTAATTATAACTATTATAGAGAAGTATTTACTAATTAGTGTAGCCTTAACTAGGATAGTTAAATATATATAGTTATACTAAGTAAAAAAGCAAAGTTATAAAGATTCTATATATCTAAACTATATATATATTACTAACTATTTAACTATAAATAACTTAATAACTATATAACTTTTATAGTTAGTAATTTTACTATTATATTTACCTTAATTAAGACTAAAAAATAATACTAGAACTAACTAGAAAAGTTAATATATAATTATTTAAAATAGTAAAACTTTAACTTCCTAGAGAATAAACTATATTAGTAAAGAGGTTTAAGGAAATAATAACTCTAGAGCTATTATACTTTATACCTTATAATCTATATTTAGTAAAATAAAAGGACTAGCTTACTAAGTAAGTTAACTACTACTTATACTATATTTTAATACTATTATAGCTTTAAGTAGTTATAATATTTTATACTACTATAGCTTTAAGTAAATATATAACTAACTAATTAATAAAGGTATTAAGCTTTATAAATATAACTATTATTAAGTCTTTTTATCTTTACTTAAGATTAAACCTAAGAGCTTTAGTATAAGTTACTATTTTATACTATATTATTAAGAGGTAAATAATACTACTTAACTATATATACTTTAGTTGTAGTTATTTATTTAATAAGTAATTAATACCTATATAGTAAGTAAAAGTAGTTAAAGTTAAGGTTTCTAGGTAGTAATAAGCACTAATTAGCTATAAATTAGTAAATTAAATCTATAAATAGCTTTAATCTAAGTGTTAGAATATTAATACTAATGATCGTATGACACCTAGTCAGTCAACTATGAATAGTTCATGATTCAAGGTCAAAGGGCACAGACTGGTTATTCGGCCCTCGGTTATGTCAAGAGGGGATCATACTTTTAGTTAGCCGGAATGACTCAAGTCATACTCAAGCAGTATATAACTGCTTCGTACGACAATAGTAGAGTAGACCTGTTTAGTCACCTAATAAGAAGTTGATTTACCCCTACGTTTTACTAAGTATATGCATGTACAAAGCCTATTTAACACTAAGAGTATATATTAAAGTATAGTAATTAGCTATATATAAAAGTAAGTTAAATATTACTATTATTAGATAGATAGATTTCTTTACTTAAAAGTAGTAATTTAGATAATAAATATATTAGTTAAAGGCTATTAATTCTAGGCAGTAATTATTATAAATTTACTAATAAATACACTATTAATATACGCCTAATTGATCAGGGATATTGTTGTAATTGACCGCTGTATCTATGCACTTCAACAGCATTATACTACCATGGCTGGTTGGCCTGCTGGCTGCAGTAAATCTACCGTATCCTCTCATTAAACACAAAGTCCGCACAGGCCACAGGCTGCTGGAAAGGGGTAAGCGGGCTGGCAGAAACAGGGATCTAGATGTGGCAAATGCAGGAATTCATTTACGTCAGCAGCAGGTAGGTGGCAAGGGTTAGGGTTATATAGGTGGGTGTGTGTGTAGGTAGGTTGACCGCCTGTTATAATGGGACTAGCGTATGGCCTGTGCGGACTTCGTGTTTGATGAGAGGATACGGTAGCCTAGCTAGTGTAGTCAGCCCGGCCACCCCGGCCAGCCCGGCCGGCCCGGCCCGGCCTTTAAATAGGTATATTATTGTGGAGTATTTCCCCTACCACACTTATTATTACTAGCAATAGGATTAAAGTGCCCTTATTACAAAGACGCTAGTTAGTAATAAAAAATATTTATACCATTAGATGGCTCTTAATTAGGTAAACTAATAATAGAAAAGTAATTACCTTTAATACTAGTTATAAATGTTGTTGCGGTTTATTAGTTAAATAACATTTAATAGATAGTGCAGATTTAATTAATAGGTGTAGCCTCTCCAGGGAACCAATAAGTCTACTATGTACCCCACTCTAGCAGACAGGTAGACTGCAATTATAATGTATCCTCCTGTTTTTCATTACCTAAACTTACAAGAGTTATCGGAACTACCGATCAGACCCTAATATATGTAATATATGGATTATGTGTAGATAATGACTAAGTTATGCGTTGGGAAATATTTTCAGTGTGTTAGCAGGTTCTAAGGTTGATCACTGTTATGTATTTGGAGTCATACAAGGATAGGTAGCTTTACTATAAATTAATCATGAACCCTAGCTAGAGGAAGACACTAGGCAGCTTAGTTATCTAACGGACTACTACTTCTGAGGTAAGAAGCACCTTCCTATTTAGCCAGACCTAATCTTTTTTCAGGCTTTTGTAAAGCTCATTTATCTTCCTAGCTTCCCATCTGACTGTCATTATCGCGAAACAAGCAACGCTGTGTCGACCTCTTCCTTAACCATGCGTCTCTTGTCGGCCAGGCAGAGCGCTGTAAGGCGCCTCCTTACTTGCCTCGTCTTTGCATTTTCCTTCGCCCCCTCTTTCTCTTTACCCACAAATCCCTACCACGATCAGACCAACGATTTGTCCTTGGTTCCACGTCAGCCATCGTTGAATAAAGACACCTTGGTCCTGTATTATATTGAAAATGAAGCCAAGCCAGGATTCAACAAGTACGACTACAGCCGCTTCAAGTACGGAGATACGAGGTTTGCAAACCAGTATGGTCACGAGATGGCCAATCTCGCTTGGAAGCAACTTATCAAGCCTATACTTGAGAAAGACCGGGCAAGCAACAGGCCGCTAACACGATTCGCAAGCATGGTGTCGCAGGGGTCGCTGCCTACAGCTGCCACAACGTTCGAAAGCGCCTTCTGCCAATACCTAAACCGCTATCTAGCAGCAGAGGGTGCATACGCCGTGCTAAGTGTTCCCATTCTAAAGGCCACGTCGGCCTCGCAGTCGGGGGATTACGCCACCATGTCGGACGCAGACAGGGAGAATCTTATGAACAATGAACACTTCACCTTTGACCGGCAGGCCATCCAGGGTATGGTCGTCTTGAACCTCGACGACATCTACATTACGGGTGGCCACGAAAGAGCGATCCGGAGAACATTCAAGGAGGAGACAGCTGCTGGTCGCCATCACGACGTCTACTACCTATACATCGCCAAGCTCGCAAACACAAAGATCGACCCAGCCATTGAAACTCGGCTCAACGAGGTAGCTGTGCCCCAGTTCAAGGACTTTAAATCCATTATCGAGGGGCCCATGTTTATCATCGAGAACCGGTTCGTGAAGCGAATGCTGAAGGCAGGCAGCGTTGAGCTGAAAGGGCTTCTTAGCAGCCTGAATCATGGGAAGGCTTTTGCGGGGAGACTTTATGATGCTGCTATCAAGAACGACTTTCACATGGGAGGCAATGCTTATAAGCCAAACTTGAAGCTTATAAAAGCGATGGCCGGACTTTAATTTCCGTTTATGTCTTCTTTGTCTACATAGATTCGAAGGGATAAACAACTAAGTAGGTTTTACTTCAACTATAATAGTTAAACCTATTATATTTTTACACTGTGGCTAAAGATCTCTATTTCTGTCTGCTTTTTGATAATTTAGTTAAATAAAAACATTCAAAGGGGGGGGGTTCAACAAATCCTTTTTACTTATGTCAGAAGCATGTCAGGGCAACCAACTTTAGCACAAAGCAAAAGCTTCGGTAATGATACAACTGCATTATTAGCCATTGTTCTACACTAATAGTTACGCCGGCCAACACTCTTACTGGTTGGACCGTAAAAGCTAAATCAGTCTTCATCATAGTTGAGGTGGCCATGATTGTTAGGTAGATGATTTGGTGGTCGTTCGGGTTCCAGCAGAGGTTCCCGTCGACTCATGACCGGCTTATAACTCCACTGTGTACTCCTCTGCGTGATGGTCGAAGAATCTGGAATCAACTTGATGAGGCAACGCCTAACAATGCGTTTCCGTGATCAGGGCATTGAAAATTCGGGCAAAGAAAGTCCTTTTTCGGCTATTATCAAATTTACCTGCCAAGGCGCCAGAGCGAAATTTCTGGTTCAGCGGCTGAGGTGACGTAGCCACACTGCGAGGCCGAGTTCTGAGAGGGAGGGAGCAGCGATCTCCTTCACGACAACTGTAGCAGAATTACATTCAGGTCATTCGAGTATGAGTAAAGGCATTACGGGTTCAGCTCCGGTCACCGTCGTGGTTGTCAGGCTCACCTTCCAGCCCTGTCTGTCACCCAGCAGCAGATGCCAAGCGGGTGGATAAACGCACGCCAAGGGTGGTCTGACATTTACGGAGAAGTGCGGAAATACTGTGTTTAATGAATTGACCACTGCGTTCAGCTGGGGACGCCATCTCAGACTGCAATAATTACAGAATGGCCCTATTCTAGAATAGCAACGGATCTCTGTATCTTAACAGTAATTAGTCTAGTATTTGAATTAAGTACCTCTATTCTAGAACAGTAGCATAATCTGTTGTAATGTTGACTATTGCAGATAAAAGTTAGAGTTATTAGATTAACCCTAATGACTTATCGCTAGCAAATTCTTAGATAATTAGCTATAGATCTACTAAGAATTTATAGGTAATAAGTTAGTTACTTAACTAACTAACCTATAATAATTATCTATCTTTTCTTTATATATAATAAAGACTATAGTTACCTTAACTATTTATTAATTACTATTAATATAACGTATATATATAGTAAGTAAATAATTATAGTAAGTAGACTAGTTTCTCTTCTTTTTACCTCTTTAAATATAGCTAATAAACTCCTAAATAAATATAATATAATATATATTAGACCTTAATAAGTAAAAAACTTTATATAATAATAACTTTAATTAAAAATATAATTTTAATAGTAAATTAACTATTAGAGAGCCTTAGCTAAAGATCTTATAATTATATAAGGCTAGTTTATACTTATATAAAATATAATTATAAAGTATAAGATATAGGATTATAATATTTATAATTTTAATAAGACTAGGTTCTTAATAAGAATACTATTATATATAAAGGTTATTATAACTTCTAACTAATATAAAAGACCTTATATAAAGTAGCCTAGTAATTATAAATAGGTTTTTATTATTTAAAGTATATATATAGATAGCTAAGTAATACTTTAGTATATTATTATAAAAAGTAAATATTATTTTTTCTCTTAGTACTAAAATAGCTAATTCTTAGCTAATTAGTATATTTACTTAAGTAAAAATAAATAAATAATAAATAAGATTAGCCTAGATTAGTTAAAGTACTTTAACTAGTATATAAAGTCTTATTTAAAAAGTACTTATTACTTTTTAATCTTAGATAGCTATAATAGCTATATATTAACTAAATATAATAACTACTATAAGGAAAAAAGATTTATTACTTTATATATATCTTTTTACTTATTATATAAGCTTTAGCCTTTTAATATTAACTATTTTAGCCCTTTAAAGTACTTATATAGTAAAAAGATTAAAAGAATAATATAGATATAAATTATATATATTACTAAAGATAGCTTTTTTTTACTTTTAAAGTAGTATTCTTTACTTTAATAAGTAAAATTAATATATAAGTAGGTTTTTAGTAAGCTAGTCTTATATCTTTTAATCTTAAAGTTATTATTTTTTACTTAAACTTTAAGCTAAAGACACTAACACTAGTAAACTTATATTTAACTAGCTTAGGCTTATAAGACCTAAAGATACTAATAATAGTAATTAAAGTATTATAGTTAGTAATTTAATAGTAAGGTTTCTACTAAGAATAAGCTAAGGTTAATACTTAGTTAATAGTAGTGTTAGCTTACTAGTCTATTAATTACTTAGTAATTAGTTAGGTAGTTAATAGTTATAAAGGTAGCTTATATAGCTTTTATTAATTAATTTACTAAGGTTAAATACTAAAAGTTATTTAAATAAATTATATTATAAGAAGTTAATTACTAAAGAGCTATAAAAGTTTATCCTTAAGTATATCTAAGTCTATCTTATATATAAGTCTTAATACTTCTAGGTAACTAATAATTATAAGTAATTACTATCTTTATATAAGGTAAGCGCTTAGTAAATACTAGTAAGTACTTACTTTAGTAATTACTAGTAATTACTTTATTTTTATAATTACTTCTTTATCTTTATATAACTTATACTATAGTTCTTCTAGGCCTAAAGGGTTATCTTAATTTAACCTATTATTAGTTATATATAAATACTATACTATTTACTAGTTATCTTATCTAGTAAAGTAATATTACTTATAACTTATTAAGTTATAATATTAGGTCTTCTCTCTAAAGGTCTTACCTTTAAGACCTATATAAGTAGGTTACTACTTCTAGGTTAAGAAGTCTTTAAGTTCTTTATTCTTTATTCTTTTAGCTAATATAATATCTAGTAAAAAAGATTATTAAAAAGCTTCTTTAATATAGCGCTAGTTTAAGCTAGCTTTAGAAATTAAAGAGTCTAGTTTTAATATTATATTTTATCTTTTCTATTAGTTAGTAGGTTATTATTATAAGATACTTACTAGGCAGTTAAAGTACTATAAGTATACTTATTATAGCTATTTCTATAATATAACTATAAATACTATTTATAAATATAAGTATTTCTTTATATTTTATTTTATTTTAGTTAACTTATTAGTAGTAAATTATTTTTTAACTAACTTTTATTAGTTAGATTATAAAAAAAAGAAGTAAAATAGGTTCTTTAAAAATATACTAAAGTACTAAGGAAAGCTTAGGCTAAAATAGATAAATCTTTAGTTAAGTTAGATTACCTTTATTAAATAAAAAGAATAGTGTTTAAGAAAAGGTAAAGTATTCTAGATACTACCCCTAAGGAGTCTATAAAAGTACTAGTAAAGTCTAATATAGTTTATAAAGTCTAGGCTAATAGTAGTTATTATAATATACTTATTTAGTTATAGAATATTATAAGAAGATAGCTTAACTATTTATATTCTAGACTACTTATTAGGGCTTATAGTTATATATATTAGGAATATAGATTAGGGCAGTAGATCTAGATTAATAGATATTCTAGTACTAGTTAGATCTACCTAAAAGGCTATATAATACTATAAAGGTATTATAATATACCCCCCTAGGTAAATTTACTAAATCTAAGGTATAATACACCTTAAATAGCTCTATATAAAAGAAATTATTTTAAAATAATTAAATCTAAGTATAAAAGGTTACTCTAAAAGTAGTAAATATAAAGAATATAAAAGAATATTCATATAATATTATATATAGTTATTATTATAAAGGCTAAAGATTCTATTTAAGTTATTATTAAATAGAAAAGAGTTACTTAAAATAGTAGGCTTTAATTAGCTAGTTAATAGGCTAGCCTAGTGCTTATCTTCTTTAATATTCTTACTTTCTTCTAGGCTAATAAAAAGGCCTTTTTTTCTTATTATTTTTCTTTTTTTATTAATAATAATAATAACTATATATATTATTATTATTTACCTTTTTTATACTATAATCTACTATAAATTACTTTAATTATTAAAGTATATATAAAGCTAACCTCTTAAATAGATAACTTTAAAAAAATAAAAGAAGCTAAATACACTTATACTACTATAGTATATATAGTAGCTAAGGCTAAGCGCTATTAACTACACAGGGGTATAGAGGGGGGCAGTAGTCTCTCTAATCCCCCTAGTAAATAACCTATAGCCCTCTTAACTAATATATATCCTTATCCTTTATTACCTCCTTACTTCTTAGATAAAGCTATTATCTTATAATAGTCCTCTAATACTAAGGGTCTTAATACTAGTAAGGCTAATAGTAATAGTAGTAGTTTATAGCTATTACCCCTTAGTAGCCTTATTAGGGGCACTAGGGATAATAATAAAGAGAAAAAGAAGAATTTAGCCTCTTTTTTCTTTAGTACTTTAGCCTATAGCTAATAAGTCTTTAAAAAGTTCTTTTAGTAAAATACTTTTAGTATATTACTTTTTTACTTTTCTTATATAACTTTTATTAACTTTATTATTAAAATAAGCTAAGATTATAGCTAAGTTTTTATTAATAGATAAAAAAAAAGTAAAAGTAAAAAAAAAGTACCTAGTCTAAGACCTTTAAGTTTACTTTAAAGAGATTTAAGTATATAAAGTACTTTATAAGTATACTTTATAGTAACTCTTTAAGGTAGTATAAGCTAATAGTTAGTAGTTAGTCTTAAAAGTATAAGTAATATACTATTAGTAAGGTACCTTATATTATTATACTTAAAAGGTTTAAGCTTTACTGTTTAGTAAAAGAGTTCTTAGCTATAAAGTATAGTAATAGTACTCCTAGTGTATATCTTCTATATAATATTATTAGTAGTTTATTTTTAACTTAGTAATTTAGATCTTTAGCTAAGTAACTAGTGTATTATAAAGCTATATTATCTTTAAAGCTAGTCTCCTTTATAAGGATCCTTAACTTAGTATATAGAGGAGTAATAAGGTAGTATTAGTAATATTTACCTTACTAGTACTACTCTTTAGTATATTTAGTAGTAGATCTAGTATAAATATATTAG